AACAGAACTTCTACGCAGCTCTCGCACCTAATGGGGGATCAGGTAATGAAAGGTCAGCTTACAAGGAATGCCCACAGACATTTACCATAAGCCGTAGTTGTGGGTTGTTATATTTGCTTGATTTGCAGCTGGGACAGGATTGAGAGACTGAGTCCATTGTTCGAAAGCCACAAGTGCAGCTACAAATGTTAAACATGCATTTACGAAGGTAAATGTGATAAAGGAACTCCATGTGAAGTTGCAAAAAACACTTTCAGTTTCAGTACTCCTGATGAACAAGCCCGGCTAGCGGTCAGTGACAAGTTGACCCCTTCCCTCGGCCTCGTACGGCGCAGTGACCCCACTCTCTCTGAATATGCTATTCGTCTCCAAAGCAGTTTCTCTGCGTGAGCATGCTCTGGAAGCAGCTGGTTTATTTTACAAGCATTTATCGTGTCAAGTTAATTGGATACCCCAAAATGGAATTGTTGGCAGGGTGGCATACTGGTAAGCAGACCTTTTATTTCAAATCCCGAGAAAAGGAACAGAACTGCGCGGAAATGGCCTGGTATCCTTCGACGACCAGGGGATGTATGCCAAGGCGTTAATACGAAAGGGATGAGAACTTGAAGGCCAACGCTAAAGACAAAAAAACTACGGTGCTACCGACACAAGGAGACTCGATAAAAAAGAGTGGAGACCGGGTCTGCTACAAGGGAAGCGACCGTGGCATGCGTCAAACACACTACTGCGTCAGTTCGACCGTCACAGATGACGATGTTCACCGTGTTCCCCACTGCAAGGTGGGTACAGGACAGTGGCTTATGTGTGAAATAGCTTATACAGATAACAGACTAGTACACCTTCTGAAGCACGATCTCCTTGGATCGGTGGCAAGACTAAGTAAGGAAGACCGAAGGCGGAAGCAGGTGATAAAACTGGACAACTCGCATACACGTGCCACGCGCACCTTGTCTGCGCACGATGGACCAAGTTTTTACAGAAACAAGAACGGAGCGGATCTGATCCCCACAGATCGGGAATACCATAGAGGCCACACTAAGAAGCCATTTCAGCCCGATTTTTCGTCCGATGAGGAGTGAGTTATTCCTTTAGTTGTCAGCCTTCCAAACTACGACTTTTAATGAATTACTGTGGGGTCATCTCCATAATTAAAGTGTTAGTATTAGATGCATTCAAACTAGCCAAGTCCCGGCTGCTACATTACTCCGCCGCTGCAACGGGGAGACGTGTTGACAGAATCCGAGGGTTGCGGTATAACCCACCCTTACGTAACTTGGTAGGTAACGTGGAAGTAGGTAATAAGTAAATTGACTTATCTAGCAACCATGCGGTCGTCTCGCTATTTATCAAACTTTTAATAGGAAATGGGGGGTTGGACCGATTTTATAAGCAAAATAACGAGTTCGTGCATTCGCTCTCCCCGACGGTTGGTTAATCCTCAGCATTAAATAACTTAGGGGACATTTGTTCCGAAACTGGGAGCGACACTAAATATGGTTTCAGGGATCTGCGGTAAGTGTCAATTTGTTTGAGGGAAACGGATCAACACCCGGATTGGGTGGTTGAAACGCATCCTCTTAATCGCTGCCCTAGTGAGTTTGCATGAGTCTAGACCTTGGCAAAGACGTATACCACAACGCTAAAGGCACGGAAAAAAGCCAACAGTGAAGAGGTGTTCCACAGCATCGCCATCAGGACCAGGGACGGCAGTTTGTGGCGCATAAAAAGAACAATTATCCCAAATTGCCAGTACTGATAGGCGATTGGCGATTTGGCAAAGACAACCAGGGCGCTGAAAGGTTTTTTACAGACCTCATACGTAATTCCCTCTACTTTTTGGGAACATCGACGATGAATGCTCTGGTCGTACAGGCCGAGACTAGGTCGGAAGGGCAGTGTTTAAAACGACAAGGGGGTTCATTGGTTGCACAAAACGAATATTTGAAAGGAAGGTTGTTAGCTAATCGTTTCTTTATTGCCGTCCACTTCCCCTTCGTTGTTATTCGATTTCTATTTGTTGAGAAGACTTCTTACGAACCTCTCTCTTCTGTCTAAACCGTCGGTTCTAGGGCTTCGGGTGGTTACAGATTGGTGACGGCGGTAGAATCTCCCATTGGAGGATGATTACCTCGACTGTGTTGAACCTGTCGGGTATTGCGCCCCATGTGTGCCGTAAAATTAGAATCGAGTCGAGTTTCCGTCTCGTTCCTCGTCCTCCCGAATTTACTCTGTGTCCACGACTTTTCGCTTCAGGCACCCCGTGTCCAAAATTCCTCCGCAGCGTTCTCCTTGACATACTTGTTCTAAAGACCAAAACGGACTAGGCGTTGCCCATAGACCCGACACAGCAATCTGACGGCAAGTGATGCGTCCTAGAGACCCGATATTTGAGGAGGAGATGTCGGTTGTCGTCTACCGACTCCAATGCAGCTGCGGGAGGTGCAACTACGTTGGGGAAACCGGCCGACGGCTACAAACGCGAATACCCAAGCATTAGTTGGCCCTGCGAAGATTGGACCCAAAGTCAGAGGTAGCAACCCATTCCGCGCAAATGGGACACACCTTCAACTTTGACCGTTGAGATTGTGGGCCGGGACGATAATCATACGTCAAGGAAGGTGCAAGAAGCCTAGATGTCCACCGACTGCTCTGTCAACCACCACATCAATTTGTCTCCCCCCCCCCCCTTATCTGACTTTAAGAACCTTCTTAACGGGGGACAGTCACGGCGCGGTACAACCAGGGCCGTCAACTTCCTCCGCGGCCGACGAGGGCGGGGGGCGATTCAGATCGCGGTGACGTGCGGGTTGGGTGCAGTCGCACAGGCGTCATTGGCGTACTACGCATCAACACAATGCGCCATATAAGGAGAGCCTCTGAAGATGGGTAGACGGAACAAATACTCGAAACATCGGACCTCCAATACACCTCTCCCGGTGAACGCCTCATTTTCTTTTGATACTTGTTCTTATTTTTGCTTTTCTAGATTTCGCGATAGTGCGACAAATGATGTCCCCAGAGACTTCGCTATACGTCCTCGTAACCGAAAGACTTTATACTTTTGCCGACCTTTCCGATCACAGACAATCGATCGGCCTGGTGTCCCGGGCAGCCAGTAATCAAAGACCGTCGACGGTGGAATCGGCCGACGACTTTTCGGTTTTCCACTCAAGTTAACATTAAAGACGTCTCCATTCCAGCATAACTGTCGGCGTGTGACTGAGATCCTCGTGCGGTTTACGTTTGGGACCAGTACATCTTCTCGTACACAACACTGCATGTCACGAGCGGCAACAATTCCGCCAGGATGTAGATATGGGGCACATATTTTCGTTACCAGTCGGGCACTTTTCGCTTTTCGCGCTTACTCCCACGCAGTAGCCCGTATTCTGACTTGAGGATCTGTTTTCCAAAAGCAATAGTTGGAAGAATTACGTTAAACAAAACAATGCAATATCCTTGAAAGTTACACAAGGCAATTTGAAATATCGCTGTTAATTTTCAACTCATAAAAACACAATTATCTCGCATTAGAGGGCGGAGGTTGTGCTATTTTGAGTTTTCAATACGCAAACTCGCAGGTCTCTTCACTGCGTGTTATCTTCCTGCAGGAACTATGTGGAATCTTAAAGCTTGATAAACGCTACATTGCCTACGAACACTCATGTGTCAGATATAAATTCAGTATAATTCCGTATATGAGGAACATAAGCAGAGCCTTGGAAAATCCTATTTACAGATAGATTTTT